ATGTCTATCTGGAATAATGTAATGCTGTAACTTTTGTAATTGTGTGCTGGATCCCAAAGGAACCCTGTAGACTACAGTTATCTATGGTTACTAGTACCTGTTAGTAGTGTTACATCTAGTAATATGAAGATTATCGTACCCCCCCCCCATTAGAAAGTCTACAATTTCTTTTCCTGTGCCCTTTGTGAGATTATGAGACAATGAAATGTTCTTCAACTCACTCTTGGCTTATTCTCAGTCGTCCAGTCCAGGTCTTCGCCATCCATTTTAACTTGATTATTGCCAGAAATAAATATTTCAACTCCAACACCTGTTTTGTCCAAACTTCAAATTTTTCCCTCCGGAATGAAAGCTATACGCATGCGCCGAAATGGGTGAATCCATTTGCGATAGAGGGGGTAGATTTCGGAAGTAACTCGTACAAAATTAAAAATCTAGATCGTTTTGTTTACCAAAGAAGCAATCCTCCTTCAAAAATATGAAAACGTTAATAATTAAACTTGGGATATCCGCACATTCTCGTGTGAAGTCGGCATCTGTACTGCTTAGCATTTGCTGCAATTTTGCCAAACTTGCTAGAGGTCGTTTTTGCTCCAAAGACTCCAGAAACTCCCCTGGGACAGTCCCAGCTATCTACTCTCCCTTTGCCATATTTGGACATTTTACCACATCTATATATGGTAAGGGTGTCCATATTGGGTGAAGGGAGACTCAATCACTCAGGGGGATTCGACATAGCGATATCATCAGCTGAGAGCAACTACAGTATTTGAAGGTATACTGTGCCGTTAAGTAGAGTAGGGTCATTTTAGTGCCATCTAGTCTTCATTTGTATCTACAGAGTTCGTAAATTTTGGTATAATGGCTATCATGAAAATCGTGTCAAGGACAATTAACAATGTTCTGATAGCGTGGCCAAGGAGGTTCGAACGTTAAAACTAAACTAAACTAAACTGTTAATTTTTTTTCAGCCACCAAAAGCTCTGCTTGGGTCCTGCGCTTGCTTGCTTGGAGCAAGCACCTTGCTTTATATATTATACAATCACTCAGTGAATCACAGAACGACTCTACTGGACTTAACTCTACTCGATACTCTACTCTACTTTACTCTACTCATGAGGTCCTTTCTTTCAAATTCAATGACATGCAATCCCTCACAGCATGTCTGAGTTGGGTTGGAGTTCATATTAGCAGTACATGTAGCCCTTTTTTTCAATCAAATTGTTTGAATTTGAAAGAGTGTAAGGGCCATTGATTGTAATATCCTTTGGATTAATATCTGGATTGCAAAATTTCACACTCTCATTATTTGCTAATTAATGTTAACAGTTTAATTTACCGATTTACTAGTCACTCTTTAGTCATGCTAATTTACTAATCACTCTTGATTCAATGAAGCCTGCCATGTATAGGCGGATTGTAGCATGTTACTTCACACCATGTTCATACCCATTGTTTTGTGTGTAGTCAGAAGGATGACCTGTAACATTGTGAAATTGAATAACTGACTAGTGTACAGTATTAACAGCAGTACCTTTGCCTTTAAAACTGTCCCACAGGTAGTCTTATATAAGGGCAAGTAGATTGAAAGAACACACAAATATCAAAGACAATAAAAACACAAACTGTTCCTGTCTGGACATTTAACTTCCCAAAAACCCACGAATTTTGGAAAAGGTGGGACATTACGTCTTTCATAGTCTAAAAAGGAGAAGTCAAACCCCTTATATATAGTCTTAGGCATAGCTATAGCTCTAGACAACTACCTTTTATCATGTAGATTTTAGTTATTTTATACTCTGTTACATTGTTCTTTTATGTTTGTAATTTGCAATTAGCCTCCGGGCACGAATTTGCAATAAACTTCTTATATAAACCGGCAATATTCTCAGCATGTCATGGTGTATTATGATTGCAATGGGTTGCAGCATACAAACAAAAACAAATGCATTTCTCCTTATATCAATTTTTGTTTTGTTTTGTGATGAAATATTAAAAAAAAAATCAATTCAAAATGGGTTCTGTCCATTTATCTTAATCCATTAAAGGATTATCAGGTTTGTCAGCAGAGTAATCTTGCACATGCATTTCTCATCTTGTATGAAGGGTACAGTATAGTTCATAGATGACATCCATGGCCAGTACACATATCTCATCCGACTGTTTGAGTAAGGAGGTTTCCCGCCTGAGGCCAACTACCTGTTCCTTGGGGATTACGTAGACCGTGGTAAACAGTCCTTGGAGACCATCTGCTTGTTGCTGGCGTACAAGATCAAGTACCCCGCGAATTTCTTCCTGTTGAGAGGAAACCATGAGTGTGCCAGCATCAATCGAATATATGGATTCCATGATAAATGTGAGTAACCAATATCTCATATTCTATCTTATGAATAGGAGGTTATGCCTTGTTCTAAAATAGATTTTTCAAATATTCTAAGCTATCAGAATATACCAATGAAAGCAAGGAGGTTTAAAATTGATTTTAAACCTCCTTGCTGAAAGTTAGTGACTGAACAAAGATTTTGTACTTCAAATAAAGGTATTGATGGTGACCTGGGTGCTTATGCTTGTGGCATTAGTGCTCACTGTGTAGGATTTGTTCCAGCTGCACCCTTGATACGTGCTTGAGGTTTGAAGTGTCCCTCCTGACCTCTGGAATCTTTTAAGGACCACTTTCAACAAACAGCAAAGTTTCATTGGCTACACTCAGAAATAGAGGGTATTACTGTAGAGTACACATGGTTAAAACTGGGTGTTTTTGTACTGTCGAACATCTCATCAACATGATGTCTTTATGATGACATGTGACATGAGTCTTTATGATGGCTTTGGTCACAGCAAGGACATACTGGTTCACATTCATTGATACAGACAGAAATTAATAAATAAACAGATCATAACCAGTGTTAGGAGGTTGTCATGTAGCCTGTATAAGGATAAAGATGATTCTCCTCTGCCTCTGTCTGTGCTCAAACAGGTTGACGACACTTCAACATGAAGATGTGGAATCTGGGAAGACTTCCAAAGACTGCTTCAACTGTCTCCCCATTACCTGCTATTGTGGACAAGAAGATCTTCATGGAGGTCTGTTTAATGTTCAATAAAATAGTCTTCCATCACTGCTTTCCAAACTGTCAATACTTGAGCGTGAGACAGGTTTGTCCTTGCATCTAGAGTCATATAATCTATTCCACAAGTCTTACACACTATGTACAGATGTGGGTGGGACGATGTAGGACAACTTGGTAGCAGCAATGCCTGGAATCTAACCCATGTGTGACAGAGCCAGGGTGGGAGCAGCCCCTCCTGACTCCAGGGTTAGAAACATTTCTAGCATGCTCCTGAGTCATGCAGGCCTCAGACAAGTTGCACAATATAGTTTTGTCCATGTTGTCTTTATGGTTTAAAAGAGATGCCTTTTTGGAGATGTTCTCAGCATGTAAACTGGGCTTTAATTTTTATACAATTGTATTTATAAGCAAATACTTTTCCTTTTGTGACATTTAGTACGTAGCTTTGTTTATATTTTTTTCCTGGTGAAGGCAATTTTTGATGTTACCTGCAATAGTGCAGGTATGCAGAAAAAAGTATGATGAGCCCTGCTGTGTAAGTGACCAGGCATTACAGTCTCACCAGGGATACTAGTCAGACAGATAACGATAGATAAGGAAAAGGTAGCATTCTGTGTGCTTATGATTGGTCATAGTCTTCCTCTAAGGTCACAAATATACATATTGGCACATGGAATCTCTGCTTCAGACATGCAGACCTGATTGCACAAAGTATATTTGATTGTTTTATTCATAATTCACCACTGGTGAGGGAGATTGTTAGTTGAAAGGGCAGCAATAGGGGGTCGGTCCCATTACCTGTACTTCTAAAGTCCCAATACCTGATGGATGGGAGGATGCTTATGGTTGTTGAAGTGTAAGATTAAGACATCCAAGCGCACCTGGGTATACGGAAAAATCAATACTCACAGTGTAAGATACACTATATATAATTCTAGAGCTGGTACTATTACGTGATACAAAATCATTATTAGCAACTGGATAAATTCTCTGAAGAGTCAGACATTTCAGATAGCATCTGCCTTCTTTCATCAGTGACTGGCAAAATATGAAAGATGCTATCTAAAATTTGGAGAATTCATACACTCAGTTGCTTGGTTTATTTTGTATAGTTTTACTGACAGTAGCAAACATACCCCTCATGTTACTTACAGGACTGTCCCCAGGCTTTCAATCATTGGAGCAGATCCAGCATCATGAAGCCAACAGATGTGCCAGACACAGGTCAGCAATGTGCTTATTGGCCTGCCATTGTCAACAGTTGTATGATGCATGCTTTTGGGTTTTGGCTGGTGATGTTGGCTTTGGAAGGTGCTTGTGGGATTTTGTAGGATTAGCTAACTTGTAACAGGATAAACAGTATTGTTCGACTGCCAGTGATTCTGTTCATAAGGCAATTAAGAGATCAGAAGTATAAAACAGATCAATACATACATATGCCTCAGAAGACTGTAACCTAACTTTGAACCAATCCTCTGCAGCAGCAGGTCTCCTGTGTGACCTGTTGTGGTCAGACCCAGACCAGGATGTGCAGGGCTGGGGAGAGAACGACCGCAGAGTCTCCTTCACATTTGGTGCAGACGTAGTCAGTAAATTCCTCAACAGACATCTGCAAAGCACATCATGTCTGTCAAGGGCAAGAAGTACGCACATATGATGTAAACATATACTAGTATATGGATGAGAAATAGTTAAGTACATGGCTGACTGGTCTCACATTTGAATTCCAGACTGTCTCTCCTAGTGCATTTGAACCAACAGGTCAAATAGTGGACTATAGCTGCAACAACCTGTATACAGTATTACTAGTTACCTTTGCCAAGAAGGTTATGTTTTCAGCAGCGTTTGTCCGTTTGTGAACAGCATAACTCAAGAAGCTTAATATGCATTGTCATGAAACTTGGTAGGTGGGTAGGTCTTGATGAGACCTAGAAATGATTAGATTCTGGGCTCCCTGGCGGCTTTTGTTGGTATTGCAGCAGAACTTCGGGTTTTGATATCTCGTGATCTGGACATGCTAGGGTCACGAATTTTGGTTGGTAGATAGCTCTTTAGGTAGGGAAGAAGTGACATGAGTTTGGGCCCCCTAGTGGCTTGTTCTGAAACTGCAGGAGCATTTGTTGAAATTTTTTCGAAGGAGGATAACTCAAGAACCAATTGGCGGATTATGGTGATTTTTGGTATGTATGTAGCTGAAGCGATGTTTGACCTAATCAAATAACAATTATGCAAATCAGGAGCATAATTAAGGAGGAAATTCTATAAATCTGCTTTGTTCGATAATAGGACTATGAAACACTTGTGACATGTAATTGAGAATGAAAAAAATCACCTGAGGATATAGATTATGTAAATGAAGACCTAATTTGCATAATTAATTGGAATTTTTTATGATTTCATAGTTGTAACTGCTGGGAATGTCAGACTTGCCACATTTGGAAGTTAAGTGAAGGCGAACATCAATAAACATAATTTATTCAAATCATGACCTCATTTGCATAATTTATGAGGAAGTGCTATAGTAGCCTTTTTATTAAGATAAGGCTGTCATTGGGTGGAGAATATGATCAACTCATATAATCCATGCTAATGGAGGCTATTATTAGTGAAATCAATGATTGAAATTGTATAATTCGTCAACCGCAAGGGTTAACATCATTTGGTGAAGGTATGAGGTCGTGGAACTCTTGTATTGTAGATAAGTCCTATGAACACGAGACCAAGAAAATGGTTCATATTCAGTATTTTTTGCTTGCCAAAGTAATTTATGTAAACTATTTCTGATTACATGTACAATGTTTATAAAATACAGTATTATATTCTGTATAACCTGATGAAATTATTTACGGGGGGAGTATTATATTCTATCTGCTTGATGTAAAAAGGAGAATATCCTTATTAATTTATCTTGCTTCTATGAAAAGTGTACTTTCATACACATCTGCCACAAATAAAGCAAATATTGTATTGAAACTGAGACTGTTGGAGACATTTTTTGAGTGATTTTGAAAGGTATACATTGTACTTAGGTTACTTTATATGTCTAACAGGAAAGAATGATTCATTGAAAAGGAGTCAACTTTTTGTATTCTCCAAATGGGCCAATATATGAGAAATGAAAAGGGACTTTTTAAAATATAATTGCTACTTGTATTTCCATCTGTATAAATATAGATAGCTATGAGACAAACTCCAGATTTACAAATCATTACATTTGGTAATCATGGTATTTTACTGTGGATTCAAGATATCCAATGCATTGAACATCTGATAAATTTGAATGCATAGAAGTGAATGTGTATCCTTTGCACTGGTCTACTGAGCTTACAATCACTATAGATGACACATCTTAGACTTACTCAAAAAGATGTCATCAAAAGTGGTGGTTTATATAAAGGTTTGATAGCACTTATTAACCTTATGTCCAGGAATTTTTTGTTACTCAACTTTGGACTGTGACTTTTTAGAAGTACAATGATTTTTACGATAACATAGATGGATTTAATTTTCAATACAGCCACAAATGCACAGTCCCAAATGAATTTAATGGTTATCTAAATGCTCGAGAAGTTTTAATTGGAAACATAAGGACTCTTCATTGATAATAGATTATAATGCAAGTCGTATGTTCAGACCAAGAAATTGTTGGACATTCAAATAATTGCCATGCCATAGGCAGGCAGTTGAATTATCCAGGGTAGGAAATCCTAATTTCCCTTGCACAAAGGCTCAGTGTAATGTATGGATACTTGAAGAGAAGATAGGATTAATATTAAGTAATTACAAATTACCCTGCTTCAAATGACATTATTGAATTAAGGCTGTTTTTTCTTGAGAATGTTGTAATACTTTGATTAA